CTAATGACATTGCTGCAAAAAAAGAAAAAAAAAGCTCACAGCTCTCCTGCAGCACTGGAAACAGCTACTGGACACGACCTCTTGCAGCAATAAAAGCAGCTACACTGTGCTAGCATTAGTCAGAGTTATGACCTCAATAACATTCATGCCAGATGAAGTTCAATATAATATGTCCCGATAAACCTTCTTAGGCTGCCAATATCCTATTGGCATGAAACAGACCCCCTAGCACTAAAACCAACCATCACCACCTCCCAGACAGATGCATCAGAGAAGACCAAAAGGTCCATTACCTGAAAACATCCTGGTCCTAGTGGTTTGCGGTGGTGTTGTCCCACTTGGAGGGGACCCAACAGTGAAGATCACCGGTGATGGGCTGACAGAGCCCATAGCCCTAGCACCAGAGTACAGGTTTCCTCCGCAAGCACCAGAGGGAGCTACAGAAATAAAGTGAAAATGAGCAGCTTTTTAAATCAGGGTTACTCAGAAAGCAGAGTCTCCTGTCCACAAAACTACCTGACGACTTTCCCAACAATTTTCTAAAGGATTCTGTGTTACCAGCGCATGCCAATACTCCCAATGAGACCAGAAATAAGGGCAAAATGGTGCACCACTAGGGCCATGCTGCCAGTGCTGTTTGGTCCTAACATGGTACTGCAGCCAAGTGCAGCTGTTCTCAGGACAGGCACCAAGTGACATGCCTCCATATACATGTTTGAGCTCCGCTTGGGAAAGCATTCAGTGTTTTATGGTACACCTGTGATTCACAAAAGGGGAAAAAAAAAGGGGCATCCACGATGATCCCCCTGTGCTTTTCAGCCATAGACAAACAGCTTTAACAAAAGGAGGCAAACGCCATTACCCCACTTTGCAGATACTGCAGTCCTTTCCTGAGCCAAGGCTAGGAAGTTTCCTGTATGTACATGTAAGGTACAAGCTGCCTCGGTACATGCCTGAAACAAGCTGCTGGGGCTTCCCTCTTTCCCCTCCTACCTGTTATCTCCATGGGTTTCTCATTGTTCAGGCTGTCATTGCTGCCAGCTTCTGAGATCTGTGCCCCGAAGGCAGCCTTGAGAAGTAGGTCAGTGAGCCTGCCGGTACTCAGAGATCTAAAGAGGAAATGAAGGGCAAGGATGCAACATTTGGGATGTTGTGGGGTTTGCAGAGAATGGGAATTTGCTGAATCTGTGCTGTTCTGCTTTCTCTGCTTTCCATGCATTACACACTAAATGATGCAGCGTGGTTACCATTGGCCCCATACTCCTTGCTGCTCAGTGACAAAGCCCCAGGATACCACCAGCTGGGGGTACAGCTACTTGCTCTACCATCTACCTTTGCTTTCTGTAAGCATTTACAACTGTGGCTCCAATAGGGGAATGGTTTCCTTCAGGTCTTGTTGCTATTTCAGGAGATGCTGAGGCAAATCCCTTCCGTTGGAGAAAAAGCCCATCCATGTGGATAGACAGAGCTGGAACATCTGGCTTGCTGTGGGTCTGTTCAGAACCAGTATGAGAGAGGACCCACAAACACCAACCTACAACAGGGTCAGGAGGGAAGACTAACAGAAGTGACAGCAGCTTCATGCCCCAAAATGATCCCAGCAAGAAGAAAAAACCCAATGATGGGTCTCTAAAAGGATCTCCGTTCCAGGCACTTGTTAGATGGGAAACCCTTCTACCCTCACAGCAGAAATTAGCAGCAGGTGTGTGCAATCTAAGTAGCCTCCTATAAACAACTGAATCCAGATCCTCAGTGACTGAAGCCTTGGGTACTATCCCACCGCTAATACCAGTTTGTTGCTGGAAGATCTGAGACGACCTCCAAAAGCCTGGCTTCCAGATCATGTGCGACTGCACGATATCATGACCACATCTCACCTGCCCTTAATCTCTTCCACAGGTCTCAAGCCCAAGCCGGTCTGCTGGCAGTGGAAGTGACCCATCTCCTTCATATCCGGCAGAGTCTTGTTCCGTGTCGGGGCTACCATGACTCCCTGGTGGGCCAGGAGTGTGAGGAGGTTTTGGGAGCTCGGGGTTTTGGAGAACTCAAAAGGGGGCATGGCCTACAAAGAAAAGATTTGATGCATTTCACTGGGTTTTTTGGTTTTTTTTTTTTTTTTAAATCAAGTCAAGTCAAGGGTGGGGGGTGCTCCCCTCTACTAGATCCCACAAAAACATGGCTTACAAACCATGAGCTTTCCCCCAGTCCCAGAGGAAAAGCAGCCCCCGAAAAATCTTTGCAGTGCTGCTCACAGGTTGCGCCGCACTGACAACAGCGCGCAGGAAGCTATTCAAGCTGCCACTGATTTAACAGGGCTGCCATCTCCACTGCCACCCCAGGAGAGAGGCCTGAAAGGCAAATCCCAGCCTCTGTGAAAAAAAAAATCAACCCTGCTGTTCACTGACCAGCCCTTAAAGGACCCACTAAGAGCTATTTAGCAAATAGCTAAACATTTTTATCTATTTAGAGTTATTTACCCCAAAACAACCCACCAGAGCGAGCTGCAAGAGACCCCAGAGCAGGGTCCATACGATACCTTTGTCGGGGAGCCCATGATAGTTGGTAAAGGGCTTCTCTGCATAAATTCAGACAGCTTCGGTGAGGACCTCAACTGCCGGCAATGCTGCAAACCATGAATCTGCAGGGGCTGGCTGACTGGGACATGGCCAAAGTGAGCCACCAGAGGGTCCGAGTGCTGCTTAGTAATCTTCTGCCGGCAGGAATGCAAATCGGACAGGTTGGGGGCACTGTGCAGCCGGGAGCCCATGCCTCGGGGAGAGTGCTCGGGCATGGACGCACCTAGAGGGTCCAAGCACACAGACCACATGAGCCCTCTCTGCAAAGAGCAGGTTTGAGCCCAGGACCTGCATTGCCAGCCTTAAAGGAACCTTAGACAGGCCAAGCCTGTGCTCTGCTCTCAGCCACAAAACACTTTTGAGGCCTGAATTAGGCTGTGGGCTTTCAGGGTCTAAACTCAAGTGATGAAGGGGAAAGGGCAAGCATTGCAGAATGATGTTTTCCAGTACTGCAGTGGTTGGAAAAAAGGGGGCTATCCTTGTTTGGGTTTGGCAGCTGTGAAACTGCATGTTGTGAAATCTCCTGGACAGAGAATTTCCTGAGGAGGGTTTAGTTAGGGGGCAGAGGAGAATTCAGTTTTACTGGGTTGCAGCAAACACACAAGCCACCGATTTCCACGATGCAAGCAGGAACTTGTGGCATTTTAAACTTGGTAATACCAGGGCAAGCACAGGAGCAGTAACAGCAGGAGGTAAGAATCCTCTTCTTACCACAAAACATCTCCTGTCTGAACCAAACCTCTGGGAAGGTAAGAAAGGAAAATCCCTTTCCTGGGATCTTCTGGAGGGCACTTCTGGTGGATCAAACTGCAGCTTCATGGGGGCAGTTAAAGAGGAGGAAGACAAATCAATACAGTACTAACATACCAGGCATGGGGATCCTGCTTCTCATCTCTGCTCCAAGAGGGGAGGGGATCACAGTCTGTCCAGGCTGCTCTGGGATTGTTCCAACTTTAAGGGGGACACAATCAACAGCTTTATTCAGTATTGGACAGTAACACAACACATACAGAAAGCATCGAGCAGACCCACAAAGCTTCCTCACCCTATCCTTAGGTGTTACACGGAAAGAAAAAAAAGACAGCTCCAGGGCAAGAGCGAGGAAGAATCTGCAGGCACTTGGGAAATGGGATCAGAAGCCCATATTGAACTGGGGTTAAAACAGAGGAAGAAAATATGAACACCAGTGGATCCCCACCCAGAACAGTGCCCTCTTACTGGGGCAGAGACAGCAGAGATGCAAGAGATCTAGTAAAATCGGGGGCCCTCCCTGCATAGTGTAAAGCACATCCACTGGCCAGTGGAGAGGGCAGGGAGAGAACCTAGCCAACAGCGCTGCTAGTGCCATTTCCCTACACTGGGCACATTTCATTTTGTCACAGAAGAAGACACATCAGCCGGTGGCCTCTTACCTTGTGGAGATGGTGTGTAAGGCTTGGCACCGCTGAAGGAGAACTTCCTGGGAGTGGACGCAGCTCCATGCTCTCCAGCGAAAGGAGGGGAAGCACCAGTTTTGGGAAAACCCAGAGGGCTCGTACTGCTGGCTCTGCGGACTGCACCAGACCTGACCAGAAACAGCAAAGCACAGGTTAGGCCAGAAGGCAGTGAAGAGGCACAAGGGAAGGGACCATCCCCATCTGCTTCAACGTCTCAGGCTACTTCACGAGAGCTTTGTTACAATTTTTAAAAAAATTGAGCCTAATCATGGACCAGGCGCTGCACAAGCACAGAACAAGCAGCTGGTTCCCACCCAAAGGCTGTACAATCCAAACAAAGTCTTGCAAAGCAAAAAGAACAAAACCAACTATAACAAGGGGAATTAATGCCTTGCTCCTCATTTTTAGGAGTGCTCCACAGCACACAGGAATTCCTACCAACTCCATGGAAGTCCAACTTCTTTACCCCCTGATTTATTTTAATAACTCCAGCAAACATGCCTGATGGTTTGTTATTCTGCTGTTGATCCCGAGTGCTCGGCTGCCTGCACTTTCATTAGAGTAGCCTTTTAATTAAATAGCTGCGTAAGCACTCACTGCATTGCATAGTACGTGAACTGTGCCAAGGGAGTTACTGCCTTGGAGAGCTTTGAACTGGTCAGAAGCAAAATACAAAGCTAAACAGTGGTGTGTGGTCAGCAGTTCTGGCATGACGGGGTAGGGGAGGGAAGAACGGGGGGGCATGAGGGGTGTTTTAGACTTGGATTTTCAAGAGCCCTAGCTCCTAAACTTGCTTAATTAATTGCCTTTGGAGGAGGGGGATAAACCTCTCTCTTCAGTAACAAAAATTACTTTAATCCATGCTGATATACAGCTTGGGTGTCAGCCAGATCCTGCAAACAGACAGAAGGGAAAACAGAGGGAAAAGAACAGTGTGCCCAATTAAATCTGGGCCATTTAAAAGACACAGGAACACAGTTTTTGGCACTTCACAATATACTTTACATGGGAATGGCCCAACTGCAGCCCTCAGGACTACTAAATAATACTTGCTCTGAACTTGCACCTGACCAAAGCTGCTCAGAGAGCTGGAATGTCACATAGTCCCGAGGGAGATGGAATGAGTAAGCAGAGGATGTGTGATGTGGCATGTCACGGCAACATATGACACATCTGTCCATAAACAAGTTACACGCATATGCTGTCTAGTCACACTGTCAAATTTTTTTGTCAACAGAACAACATTTCAGTTGGTCTGTCATGTGGCCTTCAGGCATGTGGTGAAATGGACACATTTTTGTCTTTGCCCCAAAAACCTTAGAGGCATTTACTCAAAATGACCTGGCACGGAAGACCAGCTATTTGGATTAAATATTCTTTTCAGGATCCTTGATAGGAAGTGCAAATCCTTTAGGAGAGCGAAAATTCAGCTTGATGAGGTTCTCCTTGAATTCTTGGAAGAGATGCATACTGAACCTGTGGCTTGGAAATAGAGATGGCTGCTGTAAATATGACTCCATATAGGGGGCTCTGCGTGAGACTACTGGATTTTTAGAAGATGCTAAAAACCAGGCAGTTTTAGAGCGTCTTTGTTCCATAAGCAGCCTCGCAGAGGTGACGGTCCTATTGCTGCACCCCCAAAGAATAAAAGTGGCATAATAACCGTTTGACCTCAGATTTGTAATGGTGAATCTGAGCTGAACAATTCCAGTCGCTAGCACACATGCCACAGCCCTGTTTTTCATACCTCTTCTACAGTCTCCCTTGACTATGTGAACAATAAGGGCTACTATGAGGAATGGCCTTTCCCCCCCTGAACCTAACTCTAATAGCTGCAGCAAGTTCTGCTCTAGGAAGTATGGGGCATCTAAGTGTAGAAAAACTGTCTATCAATGAATCTGACTTCAGCTTCATATTTAGAGGGACGGGGTACCAGACTGTGAGAATGTATTCGTGAGGTCCTGGCACATCATGATCTCTTTGCTGCTTTCCGATTAGACGAGCTGTAATGTCTCTACAGGGTGACTCACCTGAGAGGCCCAACACAAGAACGGTTGAAGCTCAAGACCAAGTTAAAGGGGATTTTATACCCCTAACGAAGGCAAATGTGATAGCAATCACGCGGACAATAAGTTACACTCCTGACAAGACTTGGTTGTTTCCTTGCCATTTACATGACTTGTCAATGTTTCAGCATATTGCACCTTTGGTATGTGATATTTTTTCCTGCTGAATATGGGTTCAGGAGATAAATTTTACCCTGAGATCAGACTGGCACAGGCTTTAGGAGGTTTGCCTTTTGTCTGCAGTATGGGGCTAATCTTTTTCTTGGGATCTTCTCAGCATATATATTAACCAACTACTTCCCTGTTGCTGAGGTGGTAGGGAACTAGCAGTGCCCTCGTCTCCCCTGCTGGCACCCCTGACACATTGTAGGGGGGTGTTGGTGTTTCAGGTACTGAGACTGGTAGTTGTGTGTAGGGGTTAAGTGGTAACTGGGAATTCCTCAGGTATACGATTGTGAGTGAACACAGGGGAGTGGAAGGGGCCTAGGAGACCCCTTCCAGTCCCATGCTTTTATGTTTAAGGTCATACACCTCTTGCATGGATATTCTTACACTAAGCACTAAGGTGCGTGCGACTCAATTGACAGAAGTGAGCCAACTGCCACCCAGAAGTGTGATCTACCTCTATGGCATGCAAGGATTCAGACACACAGTTCAAGCCTGACATCCGGTTCATCCTCATTACCTTCCAAATGCGTATCCTGCCCTGCAGGCATGAATTGCTCACGCAATCATCATGCTACATACTCACATTAATAAGGAACTATCATGTGGCTTGACAAGCTTTTATAAAAATCAGGCAAATGACTGGTTTTAGCCACGTATCAAAGAAGGGAAACTTTCCTCTCGGAGAATCCTTCAGGGGCTGATCTAACAGGCAAAACATTGCTAAAGACAAAGGGCTGAAAGCTCATGGGAGCTGAGCACCTAACTGGCAGGTGTGTGTTTGAAGATGAACACAAGCACACACAGGAAAAGACTTGCCATGCACAACAACTCAGATTTCACTGGCACAGTAAATACCCAAAACAAGTTAGCACACGCACACGACACACTGGGTTGCCTCCCTATGGCAAGGAAAAGGGCCCATAATACTGAAGAGCTTCTACAGGCCACAGTGAAAAACCTGCCCATGGTTACAATGTAGAACAGAAGTCTTATGCTTTGAGCAGAAGGTGGCGTTACCCCACTTCTTCCTACACCTCAAGACTTACCGTGGGGAAGCGTACTGATTGGGAGACTGCAGGTTTTGCTCAATCCGTCTGTAGTTGTGGACCTGTGTCGGTACTGGGATGGGGACCGAATGCCCGTATTTGCTGCTGGAATACTGGCCTGGCCGGCTGTAGAATGCAAAAAGAAACAAAGACTCATGAGAGGAGGGTTTTTCATCCAGCGACTTGACATATTAGCTTCCTAAAAAAGTGCCTCTATCACTGGAAGGGACCATCCATGGGTCCTCTCCCAAGGTTCAAAATCATCTCACACGAACTGGCACCTCACACCTCCAAAGAAATACTTACCTCATCTTTCCCAGCAAGATTACCACCTACAGACCAAAGTAAAAAACATTCACCCAACACACCACTCCCTCCAGGAAAAACAGTGCTCAGCTATTTCCACCAGCCAAAGAGTACATCACTGTATGCATCTATGGCTCATAAAGGACACAGGCGGAGAGAGAGTCGCTCTTTGCCATGGGCTACTTATGATTCATAGAGTTATTGTTGAAGGGGCGGGCCTCCATGAATCTCAGCATGTCACTACAGGGCTAGTGTTAACCCATTAGAGAACAGCCAACTAAGTGAAGCCATGAGGAGAAGAAAGCATGGGGGGGGGGGGGGGGGGTTTTTTTTTGTGTCACTCCCCAAA